TTGTCTGGCATTTACAGAAATTCTCATCCAGGCCTATCTGTTACAGTGTTCACTTAGCAAAGTTTATTAGATTATTAGTTTTAGACCCTTGGGCTCTTTCTTTATTGCAGTTAAGGGGGAAAACAGTCCCCCCCCCGAATTCTCCCTTCACTAAATTTAAATGGTACAATTAGAGCCTGGTCTTATCTTACAGGCATTTCTTAAAATTATGAAGATGATTTAAGTAGTGATTTAATCCCTTGGAAACTTGCTGAGTTTGACAGTGTTAAAATTGATTGTAGCTGCCTCCCCTGCAGTTAAATCTTACTTTTTTCTGTGTGGGCATTTCCCCCCCCGCCCCATATGCAGTGTAACCATGCTATTATCTAGCCCTTTTTTGCACTTGCCAGTTCAGAGTCTCGGCTGATCACAGCTACATTGGGTATTGTGGAACCAGTCTAATTTACGTTAGTTCAGAACTCGCTCATAAGTCTTTTTAAAAGTGACACTGGCTGGTGCTGGGGGGTTCTCGCCCACACTGGCTGGCTGAATCGGTGCAACTAGCTTGCTGCGGCAAACAGCGAGAGCCGAGCCTGTGATTTCCTCTTCCTTCCAGCCTTCCAGCTTGACTTTTTGTGGGGGACTTCTGGCCCTGCCCTCACCTAATCCTCTTCTGTTAAAACAACCGAAAAGCCCTCAATAAACCCTATGGATTTCCTACATATCAAATTTGAATCTAAGACAAGTACTTTCCTGTTGTTAAAGGTGAACTTGCATGGGAAAATACCAGGTTTTGATCTTTTTTCCACTAAGCTGATCCTCCCCTCCCTGTCCCCACTCCCCTCAAGATTTCTCTGGACCTGTCTGGTGCAGGGATCTGGGGAGGGGGTGCGTTGGGTGCATCTTCATCGTGTCTGATGCTTTCTTTACTTCTTAAGTTCAGGATTCTTTTCTTTGAGTGGCGGTGATATACAATTTTCTCTTGCATATTGACAGGGTTGCGCTGCGAGTAACAAAGTTAAAGCTATATCAGCTACTCAGCTGTAATTCACTCTCTGATGATACATGCCCCCTAGTTGTTTGCCAAGGGGAAAATGTAGTTTTTAATACTGGCACGTTTTCCCCCGTTTTTTAAGCACAGCAGGACTGTCTAAGGGAAGAGCAGCATCGGTGCATGTTGCTCCGTGTAGGGCTTGCTGGTAATCTTCCCCCTCCAGCATGCCTGGAGCGCCGTCGGGAACGGCACAGCCAACTGCTGGGGGTGCTTCTGCAGGAGTAATGTGCTGTGCTCATGGAGAAAGTTAATTGCGTTATTTTAATGATTGCTCCAATAAGTTATCAGCAGGATCTCACATTGTCCTGCAGCCTCTTTTGCTGCTGCTAGTCAAACGCTGGGGTGGTCTTTCTTGGCACGGTGCGAGCGGCAGGCTGCCCGCGCGTGCTGGTGGCTGCGCGGCGATCCCTTCGCGGTGCTCGTGAGGTCACTGCAGCCAGCGGGGTGCAGCGGCGTAAATCTTGAGATATGCCATATGCGTGCTTCTGACGCTGAACCTAGCCTCCCCTGCCTGCTCTGCCTACTGCTTTTTTGGTAGAGCAGCCAGCCTGGGCGCTTTGCGTGCATGGAGACCCGTAGTTTGATACTGGGCAGCCAGTGACAGGAGCAGCTGGATGCCACAGCTTCTTGGGAGAGCTGGTTTCTATCCTTGCCTTACAGAAAGGAAGGATACAATCGGCTCCCAGAGCTGTTAGGACAGTGTGTGGGCTGCTGGAGTTTCGCTGGAAATATGGGGGAAGCCAGGGAGGCAGGAAAGCAATTAACTGGACTGGAACGTGGCCAGGATGCTGCAGTTAAATTCCCCTTGGTGGCATCCTCTAGTCTTAAATTAAGGCTTGATCTTTTTCCCATCAAAGGCAGTGGCATTTAGCCCTCTGAAAATGGGAACCAGAAAACAAATGGAGCGCTCTTGGGTAGCTAGAGGAGGCTTGCAGGGACTATGGAGAGTTGAGGGGCTTTGGGGTTATCTGCTTCAGAGCAGTTTCTAGTAAGGCAATGATCACATCAATACAGACAAACCTGCCTCTAGGTGTTTGGTATTCTCTTATTCATGGGTGAATGCTGTTTCTCCTCCAGAGTTGAGGTCTCAGTGGTTCTGGCAAAGCAGCGGGTATGAGGAGGACTTCGATTCATCTCTTCTGCTGTGCTGCAGGAGGATAAAGGCAGAGCTGTAATTCTTAGTCCTACCTGGCAGCTCTGAAGGCTGTAAATCCTCC